ATCTATCTATCTATCTATCTATCTATCTATCTATCTATCTATCTATCATCTGTCATCTCCTGGAAGAATAGTGTCAAAACAGTTCATCATTTTGCCAAAAAAACTCTACAGGAATATATTTATGTAGTTAGCAAGAGTTGAATCTGATGTGAAGAAGTCTTTATTTTTCTTCCTTTGAGAAACAGAAGCACAATAAATGTTATTAGTGTATATTGAAGATTGAATATATGTTTTATTTTAGTATATTTAAAGTATCAAGATTTTGAACATAATCCAGTGATCAGAGGCTTCTTCTGAAGAAGAAATTGCATATAATGAGAAAGCTACATGGAAACTCCTTCAAAAAGTGATGCAGATGTTAGCTCTGGAAAGTTGCAAAAACCAGTACAAAATAATACCCATTTAAGGATTTCCAGAAACAGCCCAAAGGCATAACAATGCTTGTTTTAATGTGTTTCCATTTGCTCTTACAAGGTAGCACACCAGCAATCTTCTACTTTGAATGAATTAACTACCTATGTGGAATTGTCTTGAGTTAAATGGAATGGAAACCAAAGACATCTAGATTCTAAAGTGAATCGTCCAATTCTGGATGTTTCTGGTTTGTGCTTGGACAATACAATCTGCATGACAGGATCTGGGATTTGAAGAACAACTGGTAATAGGGATTGTTCTGGTAGTCAGATCAAAGGAGGCCAGACTACTGTCATGGCTCATTTGGAAGCTTCATGATATTTCTGACTGCAAAGACCAGCTTTATAAAGTCTTGCAGCAAAACCGAGACCTGGGACACAAGAAGGAACAGATTTCTCAAGCTCCTAATGCAATTCTCTAGCTATTGACCGGTTCAACCATGTCCTTGATAGGTTGGCTACATAGCCAAACCTGTGCCAGAATAGAAAGGCTAAATGGTTGGGTGCATTCCAGCCAAGGCTGAGAGGGGCTGCACTTCCAAAGCAAGAGCTATGATCATACTAAATGCCGACCACCTCTGTCTGTAATTAACTGCTGTGTAATCCTGAGGGAATTAGCACAGCGCTGTAGATACAGCTTTGAATCAAGAGTTTAATCATACAGCCTGAAAACAGCAAGATACACAGTTATTAATCTTTGCACTGTGCTGTAACCTCAAGTATAACTCCCAATTAATCAGCAGGAGGCAGACATGGCTCAATATTTACAACATGTCTAATTGATAGAGTTAAATTGATTATAGAGAGCTATTGCTTATGCATTGATGGGGATTCGGCTGAACTTAAGCCTGGGTTGTGCTCTTCCAGTCTCCAGACACATCTTGTGATTGCTCGAGAGAGTGCCTGGCAAAAAGTATTATTAAAGTACGACCGACACATTCATTTTGTCTGGTCTATGCTTTTTCTCAGAATGCCCATCCAGAGAGGTCTAGGACAACTCACCATGGCCAATTTGCCACTGCCAACTTGCTGCAGCCAACTTGCCATGGCCTACTCAACACAAGGCAACTTGCCATGGCCAAATTGCCACAAAACAACTGTCCACAGGACAATTCAAGATGGGATTAGGACCTTTTATCATTCATCAAAGCATTACAAAAGCGGGTAGCCATAGGAATGATTTCCTTTGATCCATGAGATAAGATGATGAAAACCTGGTCAACAAAAATAAAAGGAACTAAGTGAATTCTGCAGCCCATTGTCTCTTAGAAAGTTAGCCATGGCAAGTTGTCCTGTAAATAAGTTGGCCATGACAAGTTGGCCACAGTGCCAGTTGGCCATGGCAAGTTGGCTGTGGTGAGTTGTCCCATTCTGCATCCAGAGTTTGCACAAATAGTTGATCACTTTGCACTACATATTACTCTTATTACCTAGAACACAATCCCAATATCTCACATTCAGTGCTAAGAAAACTATGGTTACTTTCCTTTGGTTATTTCATGGGGCATAGAACTTTTCTTAGGTTATATAGAAATGGCCCATATCAGGTATAACCTGCATTATGCAGGCAACAGGACAATAAGTATATAAATAAGGGTGTATTTGTTCTGAATATGTTGGTATGTGTGCATATATTAAATGGATTACTGCATTTTTTTTAAAGCTTCCTAAAAGGACTTGGGTTTTGTTTGAGAATCCTAACCTATTTCCAAAAAGGGAGGGGAATATGGAATAACGTTAGCTCTTGAATAATTGTTCCTTCCCACCATTGCGTATCATTCCTGCCATTCTTCTTCCCTGTGCATTTGAGGCTTGCGGTGATCCAGTCAGCTGCTCTTTTCTGAGGCTCATTCGTAGAGCCATCACTTAAATCAAAAAGAAGCTACCCACCTTTCGCTCAAAACTGCTCAAATTACAGAGAATGAGTCCACATGCTGGTTTAAACTGCCACCAATGCTCTATTTATGTTGGGAATATTAGGGAGAAGACAATTGATTCACCGATAGATGTTCTCATTTAAGGCTCAAGATCCTGAGATGCCTTAAGTGAAGACCCTCCATGTTCCTTCAGGAAAGCAATCCTTTCTAATCAGCCCCGGCTGTTTGGTTCCTTTCTTATGGAGCTAAACAAGCAACATTATGCTCAGCCCCAGCTGGGTGACTAGCAACTTTGCCAATGACTCAGAGTGTAGCACACAAAGATCAGTATGCATTTAAATTTGCCATGGCAACAAATAGTTCACCAGTGATAATTACATAGATTGTCATGGAGACGGGGCAAAAGATGCAGAACGAATCCACAGGTCTTTGGGGAGTAAGACCATCTCTAAAGTTCCTGGCACATTGGCTCCGGAGACACGAGACACGAGAGAAGAGACAATGTCATCCATCTCTGCTTCCCACTCTGAAAGCTTACTTCTGGCCAGAGAGCTACACTAAGGCTCATACACTCTGTAGCTGTGAGATAATTATAAATATATCTCAGCTGAAATGTTGCTTAAGGGGAGAAGACAAAGGAGATATCTACATTTATAACACGAGGCTATGTAAGATGAAGACTTTGGACAATTCACTTTTTTGCTCTGTCTGGTACCAAACTCAGTGACCTGCTTATAGAGGAGGAATGCCTTCATTATCACAGATAACACCTATTTGCTACTTCTTTATTATTGTCCCTTGATAATAGGGCAAATTTCAATCTCATTTCCTCTTACTGTATTATTTATTAAACGTATATGCTGCCTGACTTGGGGCAGTTCCATATGTATACCATAGACTCATATTCTTAGAATGAGACCCTGTATCTAGCAGCAGCATCTATTAGGAGTGACAGTACAGTATTCACTAATTATAGTATTTATTAGCCGCAGCCACATAATTTAAATAGTCCTTTATTTTCATCTCTTTTTCTCCAGTTCCGGTGTATCAGTGTGACATGCTAAGCTTTAGTAATATAGCCAAAGTGCAGAATGAGTGAAGGAAAGATGGCAAGGGGAATGGGTGGTGAGAGTTTTATTTCCTTACTGGGTTCAATTGTCTGTATGAGAAAATGTAAGCGTGGCATGTGTCTGAGACCTTCTTTACATGTGTATGTAAAATATCACGCCTTCTAGAACGGAAAGGTTTTATCTCTAATCATCAATAGTGTACATAACTGTCTGTTGAAGGTTTCTTGTACTTGAAAGGGATTTTAACAAATTCCTGATGCAGGCTTTTCCAGTCTGGTGCTTCCCGATGTGTGTTAATTACAATGCCTTTACATTTAGTCACAGGCAAATGAGCTGATAGCTCTGAACGCGATTCCCTTGTTCATACCCATTTCCAGAAGTAATGATAAGACAGACTCAGAAGCCATGTAGTCAAAAAAAGCATGTTGTTGAGGAGATGCCCCTTGAACCCTCATCTCTGCTCAGCCTGTCTCAGCTGTTTGGCTCATCCCCTCGGTCAGAAACAATGGCGATGGACAATGAAAGGTCCTTTCTCATCATAAGCCTGTCGATTGATCCACACATTTTGAAAAGCATTGAGTGAGGCTACAATAGAGCCACCCAGCCAGGCAGAGAAGGTGCGGTTGGGAGAAGCTAAGATGCCCACTTTGCTCTCAGGTTCCATGTTTTGCAGTTCCTTCTTAATTCTTTCCGAGAAGCCACGGAGCATGGTGGTGCCACCAGCCAGTAGGACATTGGAAAGCAGGTCCGCCTCTCTTTCTGGCTTACATTTTTTAACACTGTTCAGTGCTTGGACATGAAGTCCAACTTCTGGGTAACCCAGCATGGTAGGATTGAAGAGGACTTCTGGGCAGCGAAAGCGTTCACTGCCAATGGAAATGACCTGTCTGTCAGGTAGAGTGTAATCCATGAGGTATTTTTTCTCATCGGCATTTAGCTCAGCCTCATACTCTTCAGGGATGTAACAGCACTTCTCCTTGATCTGGCACACCACTTCCATTTCTTCCTTTTGAAAAGGGTTCCCAGATTCTCCCATAATCTTGGCCAGATATTCTGTCAGAGCATTGCCTGCTATGTCCAGGCGATAGGTGGCATGTGGCAGGATATATCCATCATGGACAGGAGCAGTGTAGGAAGTTCCATAGCCAGAACCAATCACCAGGCCACCAGTGCGTCCATATGAATAAACTGACAAAAGTGACTGATGAGCAACAAACATGGCTGGAACTTCAAAGTTCTCAAACAACAGTTCAGCCATCTTTTCACGGTTGGTAGTTGGAGACATAGGAGCATCTGTAACCAGCACAGCCAGCTCTTCAGGGCATACACTGAGTTCAGTGTAAAATATATGGTGCCACAGCATCTCTAGAGCATCCCAATCAGTGACCACACCATGAGTCATCACCAAATGTGTGCTCACCTCTGCACGCCGTTGTGGAATGTTCTTTCCAATGTAGTACAATGGACTTTCCTTTGTCCTGAACCTGGGTACCCCCACAATACTTGGCATGATGGATCTTGGCTTTTCATCTCCAGCAAGGCCACTCTTGGTGTAGCCAGTACCTGTATCGATCACAACAGCAGCGTAGTCCTTGTACTTATGTGATAGGTTTGATTTGGAAGTTGAGGCAGGAGATTTTGAACCAGGTCTGTGTCCTGCAGGACCAGGGCTACCAGCTTTTTTGTGGCGGCTCATTGTAATGGGACTTTTTACATTTTCACCAAATGAAGACATGAGTAAACACCCAGACACCCGTCCTGCAGCTTCAAAGTGATGGAGGAAAGCCTATCAGTGGAGAATATAGGAACTCAGTTGTCATAGTGGTGCACTAGTTCATGGACTGGTCAGAGTGACATCATAATAGTAGAGGATAAATTCTATGACAGGTATGGAAATGAAATGGAACAGTTTCCCACAGAGATGTTGTCGTAAACACACATCCACCAAAAACATATAATGATGAGCTGAACCAGATTAGGGACTGATCATCATGGAGAAAATGTATCTAATTGCTAAGAGATGGCAATCAATTAATGGGATGCAATCAATATGTCAAACTTTAGTTGAAGTGACTGCACTGGGCACCAAATAACTATCAGACCAAGTTCAAGGTTTGGATCATCACATGTTAGGCTGTAAATAGATCTTATTCCCTGTAAAAAACCCAATGATTCCCTGAGATAATCAGGAGTAATCCTGCAACACATCTGGTACCTATTGCAGATGGGCTTTCTCTGTGATGACATCTTCCCTATAGAATGTTCTGACCTCTGACATTCAGGAGCTACTAAAGAGAAAACCTTGTAGGCATTGTTTGAAGACCGTCTGTTTACCCAGGCTTTTCCAGTATGGGAGAAGATGCTCTCACTCCACTTTTTCAATAACTATGTTTTTAATTGGCTATTGTTTTATATTTATATAATATATTTAAGTATTTTACTGATGTTTTATTGCTTCATTACACTTTGGCATAGGAAGGGATATAGGAATATATTAAATAAAGTATAATTAGAGAGCCAGTTTGGTCAAGTGGTCGGATTACCAGACTAGAAAGTGGATACTATGAGCTCTAGTCTCAACTTTGCCATGAAAGCTAGCTGGGTGGCTTTGAGTCAGTCACTTTCTTTCAGCCCAACTCAAATCACAGGGTGGTTGTTGTGGGGAAAACAGGAGGAGGATGGTATATTGGACGTGTTCACTGCTTTGAGTTGTTTGTAAAACAATAAAGACAGGATACAAACAAAAAAATAAACAATGAATAAAAAAATAATGTAACTGGTGCCATGACCGTCCATAGCACCAACTTCAGTTAAAGGGTATAGCATCCACATTGTTATAGATGACTTGAGATCTGGTCTGATTAATCTCACTTTCCATGACTAGCTCTGTGAATTTGAATCAGTTTGCATGAACCTAAATTTTGCAGAGTGATTTATAGTTTAGAGCATGAGTTTTTAGACACAATGACAGGAATTCATCCAAACATTTTGCACCCCATTCCTCCTCTTTGTGCCCTCAGCAAAACTTTTCAGAATCTGAAGCAATGGTTTTGTTTCCGAGTTACCTGTTGGATTGTAAATTTTATTCCCCTAAAGGAGGGGACTGAAAAATTATCCCACAGGTCTTCTGTACTCAACAACTTGAAGAATAAATAATGAGTTCACTGTGAACTGGGCCTTGGTTCAAGGAAACTTCCTAGCTTTCTTTCTCTTCTGACCAGACAGAGGGAATTATAAAAAATACATCTGTGTGGCTAATCTGCCTTTGCCAGCTTTATTTTCTTGGTTTGTCAGAGAAGCCACACTTGACTCTCTGTATTCAGGTGATATTAGTGACAAATGCAGCTTATTCCAGCTGTCTAAGAATAAACTTCAAGATAATAGCTTGCATAGCCCAGGGAAAAGAGGCAGGAGAGGAGGATGGGAAAGAATCACTCGTGTGCTTTTAATGTGGAGTAGTTGTGTTCATTATGCCAACATTTTATAACTATCAGAAATGTTTGACTGGTGCCTGACAAGTATTAAACACCAGCAATTGATCAGAGAGACATTTAGGGCTTTTCAACATCAGTAAGAATGAAGATCTGAATGAGGAATAAAATCAGAATCAGTTATAAGAGCAACCTAAGTATGCATTACTAGTCTATGTTTTGACATAAACTCAATAGAGTGCAGGGCTTCATTATTTTATTTATACCTATAGTAAGTGTGTTAGACCCCCCATGGCTGGATTTTGTTATATCTTGTTTTAAGCAGCTCACTGACCAAAATAAACCCTCTCTTTCCCCTCTCCCCCTCCACAGTTTTAAGGTCAGGGAAGCAGATCAGATTTTGTGACAAAATTGTCCCGTCCAGATGATGTCAAAGCAAATTTCTTCAGAAGTCCAAGTCCTAGGCCAACTCTTATTTTACACTTATCCTTTACTCTTTTTTTCACATGCTAAGCTTTGATCAGCAGCTGATTGGAATTATTTTAAGCACTTTAATTCTGAAGTGAATTAAAGGGTCGGGGGGCAAAGTCTCTGTTTTGGAAGAGATAAGGGTGCAGACCCAAGACACATAAAGAGAAAGCAAGGAGGACTGGAGGAGAAACCTTTATATTTAATACATATTCCAGGTTATATTGCTTAAGAAATGGGTAGTGCACTTCCAGTATAATGGAATCATAGCAGATTATACAGTTGTACACATACTGGTGTCCACAATCTGTGCTCAGGCTTCTATTCATATGTGAAAGGACATACTGCATTCATGTTTACGAGACAAGCATACAATACAACTAATGGTTTGCCTAATTTCAGTATGCACCAAGATATATTTGGTAAGTTTTTGCTTTGCATCTGTTTTATGCTTTCTCTGATTCTAATTTGGAAGGACCATATATATCACTCTATGCAGGTTAAATAAATGCATATGATAAATAAATAACACTGATACTGAAAACATGTTCACAGTATGTTATGGATAAATTGAGATATGAAGTATAACTATTATATGGAGAAGTCAAATTTGTATTCTGATGGAGCTGTCCAAGGTCCTAATTTGCTCCAAACATGAAAAGAAGGTTGCCTTAATAATCCTAAACAGTGGAAGAAAATTATTGTCCTTATATTCTGCTTATCGGTTTCCAGAATGTCTCTACTAGACCTTACATGATATGGAATGTCAAACCAATGTGACCTGATTTAGCAGGCCTCTTTTTATGTTCCTATGTTCTAAAAATGTGAGATTGTCCAGGTATTTGACAACCTCACATTGTCTTGATCTGTTTTGTTCTGTGAAGTGCCTAAAGCATATTCTGCAATATTTTGGACTAGGTAGGCATAGTTACAATTTTAAGAGTCTGATTGGAGGTGGGGTCTCTTGAAAAATCCTAAAACCTCAATCACTGCACAAATATCTTATTCTAAGGTTATTTGTCACTGTCTCCTTATCTTCCCTGCTTGTCATTTTTTTTGGACTAAAAAGACTATGTACTGTATTTATACTGGGATGAAGACATTCCCTAGGTTTATGAGATTAGTTTGTGTGCAAGGGATCATGAGTGATAGACATATTGTTGAAAGCTGGAGCTTTGCTTAACAGAATGTCAAAATGCTCCAGTTTTTACAGTCATTTTTTTTTTAAATGTAGAAAGTTAAATGGGACAGGATGCTTAAGAAAGAGGTTTCCATGAGCACTCTGATGCTAACCTATGGTCTTCAAGTCTAGAGAATATTGTTTCATCAAATCACAATTTTATCAAGAAATCCAGTTGAGGCACTTAAACTGTTATGCTGATATATTTAAAAATAAATAGAATAAAATAACAGAGATGGAAGGGACCTTGGAGGTCTTCTATTCCAGTGGTCGCCAACCAGTGGGCCAGGGACCACTGGTGTTCCACAGAGAAATGTCACCCCCAAAGGAATGCTTCTTTCCGCTCTTTCTTCTGCTTTTGGCTGCATGCAAGGAAAGCAGCAAAAGTCTTTCTTTCTCTCCCTCAAACTCCATCAGAAATGAGTCTTTAGGACCCTGCAAGGCATCCTGCTCCAAGGGGCTGCATTGGCAAAGACTCATTTCTGGCAGAGTTTGGGGAGAGAAAGAAAGACTTCTGCTGCTTTCCTTGCACGAAGCCAAAAGTCTCTCTCTCTCTCTTCCCCTCCCCTCCTGAGAATGGAGCTGGAAACAGTATCCTGCAATTCCAAATAAAGAATTATCAATCGGTAGGAAAACAGGGTGGGGAATTTTCCTGCAGACTTTTTTGGGGATTTTCCCAGGGTCTCTGGTTCGTGGGATTTAAAACTATGGGTTTGATGGTCCCCGAGGTCCAAAAGTTTGGTGACCCCTGTTCTAGTCCAACCCCCTGTTTAGGCTGGCAACCCTATACCAGTTCAGACAAATGGCTGTCCAATCTCTTCTTAAAAGCTTCCATTGTTGAAGCATTCACTGCTTCTGGAGGCAAGTTGTTCCACTGATTAATTGTTCTAACTGTCAGGAAAGTTCTCCTTAGATCTACGTTGCTTCTCTCCTTGATTAGTTTCCACCCATTGCTTCTTGTCCTGCCCCTCAGGTGCTTTGGAGAATAGCTTGACTCCCTCTTCTTTGTGGCAGCCCCTGAGGTATCAGAACTCTGCTATCATGTCACCCTTAGTCCTTTCGTTAAACTAGACACACACCAAGAATAACTAGACAATGTTATAATGTGAAATAGGTTTTTAAATAATTCTTTATGTTATTGAAAGGCAGTACCTACTCTGTGAGAAACTGTGTGAGCCTGTTAAACACTTATCATTATAACTAAAAAGCTCATTAGGGTTCTATGTTCATACTTGCAAGATTCTGAAATTAGATTCCTCATTTAAAATAAGAGCCATATGATCCTAAGAATATGCAGTATCTTTGTTAACTAGGATCTGACTCATTTTAGGTGGAACAATTTTATGTTGTGTTTAGCCTTCTGCCTTTCTGATAGCAGGACTGAGATAGGAAAGAAAGATCCAGAAAGACTTTCAAAGTTGTATCTTTGCTCCTGGTGTCTCTTATGGCTAGTCACATTTCCTTGGCATCTGTCCAATTCTTGTTTATTCAGGGGATAACATTTAGATTCTTAGGAACCCTGACTGCTTGTGTGTGAATTGTGTTCTCAGCTTTGACTGGTTTGAGAAGCCAAGGCGTTTGTCTCTTGTTCTCTGGTCGGGCAAACGTGCTAGCACTATCAGGATGTGTGATCTTAAAATGTCATTTCTGTTCATG